CCTAAGATTGAGGCTATGATGCAAAGGATTTTGAATTTTATGTGTCAAGAATTCCGCAGCATGAATGATCGTATTTCTGAGCTGAAAGTCGAGGTTCGCCAAGCCAGCGGCTCTCAAGCGACAGCAGCTCTTGAACGAATCGACAAGCGCTTGCGCCATTTTGAAGATATCAACATACGCTTCAATGAAACCGGCATGCTTGATTACGTGAACATCAAGGCCCTCGATGTCTTCGATGGGCGCCTGCTCAGTATCGAAGAAGACCTCGCATTTCTCAAACACTTCATCCAGGCCACCGCCGAAGACTCTGATGGCTCCATCAAGTGCTACCTCGACAATATTGATCAGCGCCTTGGTAGCTTGGATGGTAACCTGCGCCAGCTTGAGGACAGGATGTTCGCCAACCTTGATGGTGTCATTGGCGACGAAAGGGGCTTTATCACCCTCGTGATAGAACCCCTCGACTACGAAATACTGGCCAAGATGACCCCAACTGGGATAGCGGAGAAACTTCGCGAGCGGCCAGGCTGGATGGTTGACAGTGTCAAGCTGAAACCTCCCAAGACTGCAGACAAGCCCCACCAAGTCATCATTAATTTCTTGACTAGGGAGTCAGAGGCGCACATGCGACGGCACATTTCGGAGATATGTGGCCTATTCGGTCTTGAGCACGGTGTCTTCTGCCTTTCCCCGACCTATACCCTCCACGTCGAGCATCTGGTGCCCCATTTGACCAACGAAAACATGGGCCATAAAGACTTGGAGGAAGTCCTCCTACAGAGTCTTGGTTTGGAAGACATCAAATCCAAGGTTTCTTACGATCGGATGCTCCTCAAAACCCAGTCCTTCGACGTTGTCAGCAGGCTCTGCTTGACAGGCGTGAAATTGCTCGATCATTACTACCAGATTGTGTAAGACTACCCCATTGTACCTCCTAGCTACAAGAACTAACTGTCAGATCCTAGCCCCTTTTGCGTTCAAGGTACGCCGCTGTTTTGTTTCAAGTGCTGGAAGCCAAGCCATTTCATGGACGACTGCACCGTCAGCGTTATGCTGTGCGGGCGATGTTCTGGTAATCATGATACCAGGGGTTGTAAGGCGCCTTTTCGCTGTTGCAACTGTAAAGGTCCGCATGCCACCTGGTCTCCAGATTGCAAAGACCTTTCATCGATGAAGGAGCACCGAAATTCAGCTTGGTATCGGCAGCTTTCACCTCACTGGGCCAAAGGTCTGCCAAAGACTGGAAAGCCTATTGTTCCACCAGTTACCAAGGCGAAAAAGGCGAAGCCGAGTCCTTCTGCAAGCTCGCCTACGGTCTCTGGTGAACAGAACGACACGTCTTCTTCTCAGTCGCCCGAGAAAAGACCCGTCGGTAGGCCTAAAAGGCAGGAGGTCAAGGACCCCCGGCAACAGACCATCGGTCACTTCTTCACGCAGAAACGTGACAAAGCTGCTGGAAATACTCTGATTCCTGCCCCTTCCAAGCAACTTTCATCGTCTCCAGACGCAGACATGGATCGTACGGACGTTTGCTCTCCTCAACCCAGTGAGGGGACTGGGGCTGCAAACTCCAGCACTCCATCAACAACAGCTGGTGTGAGCGACTCTTCTCTCAGTGGCATTGACAGCTCCCTTGCGGCCATGGACATCGACACAGACAGCACTTCATCATCAACGGCTAGTGAGAGCAACTATTCTGGCAGTGGTGTTGGTAACTCTGATGTAGGCATGGATATTGACGCAGCCAGCACAGCCGGCGATGAGTCCATTGAAGGCCACACGTCCCAACCCAAGTCATCGGAACCCAGCAACAACAAACAGACCGGGTTCGAAAGCTCGAACAATGACAAAGAAAAACCCAAAAGGCGGCAAACAGGGAAACAACAACAACAACAACAACAACAACCACCTAGGGACGAATTGTCTCGGTTTTGGATTTCACAGCGAACCAAAGAAGGCCTCTTGTGTAGGTACTTGTTTGTTGGTACGGAATTGATCATTGAAAACCAGGCAATTTTATGACATTAAGTAAATTGATTTCATGAACCGTTAGATTTGCAGACATGGTTTGATATCCTAACACACCACAGGTGCTCGCATTCCCACATAGATATTGAAAATACTCAGATTGGGATAAGAAGAGCAAATAGCTTCATCTCCCGTATCCCTCGTCTGAAGGACGCGAAATTAACTCTATAGGGCTAATCTTCACTAAAATGTTGAGGTTGTAGACGTCCAGGTGTGGAAACATCATGATGGAACATACAGAATAGTCATTCGCTAATGATGTACATTCGCTATCCAATGATCGCGAATCTCCTTACGTGGATGCCTAAGGTACAGACATCTATTCAGCATTATGGTTAGCCTGATCCCTCAGCCCAGCTAGCTCTTTATTTCATTACCACTCTTTTCCACACTCCCGATTTCACATTGCTAACATCGACCTTTTAGTCCATCAACCACAGACTAATGCATAACAGTTGTCCTATTCCAAAACCACGGTGGCAATTTGTTCTCACTGCCTCAAAGAGTATTATGCTCGTAGCCCTTTCATGACCAGCTATTTAGTTTATAAGCTGTTTCATAGCCTTTCACAATTATGCAAGCTTATATTAAATAGTACGAGATGCTACGTGCTTTCTGACCCATTGAATCTAGGAGAAGAGTACACACAGGTAACGAAGATCACCATGTAAGGGTTTTATACAAGAAGTAGGGAGGTGAGGAGGAAATCAAAATACAGGGGAAAAGGCCAAGGGATGGCAAAAAAAAGAAGCGGGGCCCGAGCGCGGTAAGCAGTCCCACTTAATTCCCATCCTCCCATTACCCTGTCTCATCCTATCGTCCTATCGTCCTATTAATATTAAGTTTAATAATAACTTTGGCATTTAGTCTAAATTTTGTCACGAACAAGATTTAGCGCTAACATTAAGGCCTTGGGTTTTCTTGCCCAACTAAAGAATGAATAAGCAAGAATCTGGGGAGGCCATTCCGTCATCAGCTTTGAGGTGTGCTTAGTGTCTATGATGCGACTTTGAGCCTAGGGTGTTGGTAACAATCCTTTTTCCCCTACTAAAGCCCAAGATATTTTAAAAATACAAGACACCTCTACACTAGCTCCGCATGCCGCGCTCTCTCTTGCTTTGTATATGATTGCGCCCTTTCTGACTAAAAGTCTTGCCGCATTTAGATCATGTGCACTTGTATGTCTTTTCTCCTGCATGAATCGCATATTTATTCTCGAGGCCGACCTTTAGTGAAAACGAGCAACCTGTTGCAATTAAACCCAGGTGGATTTGGACATGCTGTTGTTTTTTTCATTTCCGGAAAATCGCTTGGCGAGTATCTTCCCAGTAGTTTCGATCAGTTTCATCTTGAGGCAAGGCATAATAGGAAGTCAACATCTATCAAGAGTTGAGAGCATAGTCTCCTCCCAGTATGATATCGCGAATCTGACGGCAGGTTCTCTTAGCCATCCAGTATAAAATGAATAGCCTCAGAGTGTTCGCCAAGCCCAGCTGCTTCACCCTTGAGGTTGCAGTGAGTCGTAATTGTTTTCAGTGTTTTGTTTGCTTTCTACTGCATTATATGCCAACTCCAAAGATATTCTTGCATGAAATCTGGGAGGAACACAGGATGGTAAGATTGGTTGGAAGATGGAATGGAATACCGCTGCCATATCTTGGAGCTTTTGGTACGCAAGTCGCCAATATGACCTTTCGGTCCCTGGAAGTGGGAATGATGGCAGGTTATCCGTACCGTCAAAGTGTCTGTACTCTGCTTCATATAACATTTGGTCATCATAGGAAGTGTCGTCCCTGTACGCTGAACCTGAATGACTTCCTGACTGGTTTCATCATCCCAATCCTTCCAGGTTTTAAATTGATAACCTCTCTACTACTAGATTAAACAAAAAGTATATATATTAATTATAGGAAAGTCCTGCTGGGGCCGTAGGCGATGGATTCAGTTGCCTTCTGCTTAAGGAAGCCCCTAGTAAGGTCCCTGAAGGGCCGCTTGGGGCAAGTTGGTTGCAGTCCTGCCCTGAGTGTAGTTGTAAAAGATCCCCCCTATGAAGACCAAACAAGCCTTGCTCTCTAAGTAGAAAATTGCCTCTCTGGGCACGGAAGATAGCTTCATGAAGAGACATAGCAAGAAGAGGCACAGTAAGAATATGTTGAGGTCAGGATGGGCAGAGAGAGGCATTTGCCTCGTCTAGGATGACAGCAGGCTGTCAGCACCAAAGTCCTGTATAGTATCAAACTAATTTAATCCAATTTCAAACTTAAAAATACGTGCATGTCCATATCAATCGAGTTTTTCCAATTTCGAAGTTGGATATTTTAAGGCCACAAAGCCAAGAACCAAGCCATGGCAAAAGACAGATATCGAAGTACTGAGGCAGCTACCGAGCCTCGGGCGACTTCAGTCAACCAAATCAACTGGAATAAAGTCTTTCTGGGGCTGTAGGTGACGGTTTGGGTTGCCCTCCGCTGGAGGAGGCCCCCCGGAGGGAAGTCATGAAACTCCTTCGATGAAGTTCGAAGAAAGATTGATCCTTTAGGAGATAAAGAGAATTCCCTCTTTAGGACCTGTAGATACCTTCAAAAAGAGGCAAAAGGGGAAGACCACAAGGTCAGGCTAGGCAGAGTCATGCTTCGCCTTGCCTAGGATGACAGCCTGTCAGCACCAGGGTCTTGTTCAGATAACCGCTTCCCTGTAATACAAACGATTGATTCAGTTCAGTATTCGTGGCAACCTCATTGTACATCTTGGAAGGATGAAAGCAGCAAGTTGATGCACTCTTCAGATGGAAGAGCTAGCTGAGATTTTAGAGGACTCCTGTAATTGTCTGATGTGCACTTGCATCTGAATATATAGGCAAATACAAAGACGCAAATAGCAAACATAAGCAGACAGAAGTTCGGCCAAACAAGTCTTCATATTCCACCCATACAAACAATTACCTTCTATCTTGGCACAAAGTGGGATCCCAATCAGGTCAGAGCTTGCAACAACTCCAGATACTCTCGATTCCTCCCCCACGCCAAAGCCACACTCTCCAAAACCCTCTTCCCCTCCTTCAGTATCCTCTTGGGCGCATTAGCAGAGTATATATCGCCAACACCACTAATATACGCCTTCAACACCCCCGTCCTAACAAACAGTTGCACCATTTCATCATCGTTTGGTCGATCGAGTCTTATGAAAGTAGGATTCTCATCGTCAGATCGATCAGGCGATATTTGTCGTGTCACACTCCCGCTGCGCATTTCTCCTCCTCCCGTCCTTCGTGATTTACAGGAGAATACACTGTATGCCCAGAGTGTTAGGGTGGCCCAGAATACGCAGGGGGGTTCGTAGAATGTCATTTTTGCATAGCGTCTGACGTGCCAGAGGAAACAGCCGCAGTGTAGTGCTGCAAGTCGAGCTTTTGACTGCAATTCTGTTAGTATCTCACCAATCGTCGATAAAGAGAACTTACGCCGTCTTGCTGAGCCCATTCGGATATCTCACGTTCCGCCTGCAGCGCCTCCTTCTGGTTCGCTGCCTCTTTCCTCAAATGCTCCGGCGCCTTTAGGTATTTCGCCAGCGTAATTATCGCTTCCCGTGGAACGAGAAGTACAACACGAGAAAAGTGCAAATGCAAGACTGTAGGGTGCTCAGCTCCGAGTAGAGATGCTATGGTGGCATTGGCGGCCCAGTGAAGCGTATCTACGCAATCGAGAGCAGCGTTTCGCCAGTTTGAGTCGGAGAGTTGAAGGTGGTGGGTTTCGTCGCTACGAGGCTCGGGATTGTTTTGGGGTATCCAGGATGAGAGAGGGCGCTTGCAGTAGGTGCTGACGGTGGTGTATTCTTGGTATACTGCGTGTAGGAGAAGGATGCGAGAGAATTCGCCCAGGTCGGCTTTGGCGGTTCTTTCGCGGAATAGCTCGCTGATGGCAAATTCCAGTGTTGGATTGACTTGTAGTAGGTAAGCATGAGATCTTGGGAGGGCGAAGGACAGGCTTACTATCGACGCGGCGATGGAGTTGCATCCAGTCTGATGATGTTGCTTGTGTCCAAAGGCCGTCGTGCGGCAAAGTTAAGCCCGCGACGTTGAATGTACCTGTCTGATGATCATCAAAGAAGTAGCAGCCCATGCGGTCTAGTAACTTTTAAGTAGGTTAGTCACCGAGACTGCAAAGACGGAGTGGCAAAATCTTACCCAAATAAAATAGCACAGTCGACGCCAAGTCTCATCTTCAACCCATCTTCGCCACCTATCTTCATCGGCATCACAATGGGCTTCAGCCGATGGATTTCGTTGAGAACCATGTCGGCAACGATAGAACGTAATGATTCTCTGCAGACTTCCCATTCTTTCGTAGGCTGCCTTGTGAAGCTGGTTGCCCCCAGAGTATAGCAGGCCGACTTGGCTCAGCACAAAAGCCTGTGCGAGCGGCAAGTTGAACTCTGATCCTTCCAGTTCAGTAGCCAACGTTCTTCTGAGAAACTCGTGGAATGGTGCGACGCAGGTGTGGATATCCGCGGTAGCTGAGTATTGGCTCCCGATGGCGCAGATCGCCAATGCGAGAATCCAGTTTCCATTCAGGTCTGTTGTATGAGGGTGGACAAGAGGAACGATCGGGTCGAAGTGTTCAAAGAAGAGTCTGATGAAGTGATCGAGCATCTTGAGAGACGGAAAGTCCGTGGATGTGTAGTGCTGATGAAACATGGAAGATTCGAGACACGTTTGTGTAAAGGCTTCGCATATCTTGGTGTATGTCAACTGTGTCATGATGGATTCTCTGTACGTTTCGTCCTCGAAAGTAATATGGCTCAAATCTGGAAACGAAAGGGTTGCAGTGTCATTGACCTGTAGGCGTGAGTCTTGAGAGATAGTTGGTAACTGCGTGTATCCTTGAAGCCCTGGCGGTGGAAAAAGCTGCTTCGACTTGGCAGTACAGGGGCGCCGTGCACCGTTTGAACTGGTGGCGTACAGATCTCCGGGTATAGTACGACCAGAGCTCATACTCAACTGGGGAGAAACACCCAGACCGCTGCCCGGAGAAAGCGATGTCACAGTAGACAAACGTCGTGGTGGAGCATCAATCATGGGAAAGCTGGGAACTGTCTCCTCGATAATAGTTCCATTACCGGCATCAAGAGGCTGGGTTAAATCAAGGCCTAGAATTGAGTAGTAGTTTGTCTCAATCTCATTGTCGTAGGGTAGCCAGTTGATGGGGAAGTCCCAGTCGATATCGTAAGTGGACAGATCATAGTCAAAGCTTGGTTGTTGCTCATTACCGGTTCTGTCGATGAAAGAGCTGTCTTGTGAATGAGGAGTCTGCTGTGAAGGTAATGCAAGTTGTAAATCTGACGGACTGATGAGAGTTTGATTCGGAGTATGTGCAATGGTACCAGTCTGAGAGGCGGGTGATGTTTCGGCCGGCTTATCTCGGGGCTGAGGATAAGCGCAATCTAGCGATCTAGTCGAACATCGCTGACACGGAAGATTTCTCGAACATTTCTCGCGCGCCCTGGCACACTCCAAGCACGCTCTACGCCGTCCAGCATCGCGTCTAGACACGGCGGATGGATGATCGTGAATAGCTACATGCTTTGTCAAGATATCACTTCAATCATCTCAGTACCGCTCACGTAGAAATGCGCTGCGCCGCTTACCTGCGCGTAAAGCTCTTGTGACAAACATGGCACTCGAAACCCCTCAGGCTATCGTGACCTTTTTGGTGTCGTTTCAGATGCTCCGGTCGCTTAAAGCTTCTTGGACATTGTGAGCATTGGTACTTCTCCATTGTGAAGAAGGTTTAGGACGTTTTAGGCTTGTTGAAGTGTAATTGTTGTTGTTTCGTGAGGTTGGTTTGACGCAGAGCGAGGTTGGAGACTACCCCACTCGCAGATGGACGAATTGGGCTAAAGGTGGTTTGGAGTCTGGGGTAAAAGTCACATTGGATGATCAGCGACCAAGAAGCCAGCCGCACCAATCCTGTAAGCTATGGAACAGTTCTTTGACAGGTTGATCTGGAATTGAACTATAATTCACGACTGAATTGGTCAAGCAGTTTTAACGCGTAACGGTTCTTGACGGATCTCTACACAAAGTAGGAAAAAAAGTGAAACAAAACAATGGCAACAATGATTTGTTCTCTTTACTATTTAGGAACCAGTATGTCTGATCAATCCAACTTTGTTCATGTCGGCCACTGTTGTTGTCAATTGCGACGAGTCTGGTATCTTATCGCCCAAGATGTATGTACAAGCTTGGAGAACCATTAGAAGGCAGAAGCAAGAACAGAAAATGGGTCGATTTATCTTACCAGGCCTCTTTAGGGCATCGGGACACTTCCCCTCTTTGTGACTCGTCTCCGGTGGGAGCTCCGGTGGGACATCCGGGACGCCCACCACGGACTAATCGACATGCAGCAATTGATCAAGGCGATGACTTGCATAACACTTTCAATAGCAATATATCATAATGAACTCTGGAAGATAATTCTGACATTCCTTTCCACAATCTTCACCTCACATACCGCCAACATGTCTCACCCTCAGTCCATCTTCCACCATACCACATTAAAACCAGGTTCACTCCTCCACCGTCGAAGGACTACAGTCTCAAAGACAACACTCCATACACAGCTCAAGAGACTTCGCGAGACCGGCCGCTACGATTGCTTCAAATTGCAATGGCATGAGATCTACGCGGACAAGTCCATGTGGCCTGTTCCTTTCCATCTCTTCTGGGATAGCGACATCGCGAAGTGGATCGAGGGCGCTTGTTATTTTCTTCATGATGAGTTTGATGGTGAGATTGACGCTGCGGTGAGAGATTTGGTTGACATGATACGGGCAGCGCAGCAGGATGATGGATACTTGAATGTTCATTATACTGTTGTTGAGCCGGGAAAGCGGTGGACGAATCTGCAGGATATGCATGAATTGTAAGTTGCATGGCTTTAAACTGTATCGTGTTTCTTATACTTATTGTTTTAGATACAACGCTGGTCATCTGATCGAAGCAGCCCTCGCTCACCACCAATACTACAAGAACAACCTTCTTTTAGAGCCCATTGAGAAATACGTTGCCTTGATTCGCCGTACCTTTGGACCAGGCGATAACCAACTACACGGCTACCCCGGGCATCCTGAGATCGAATTGGCACTGTTCCGCTTATACCAAGTCACCGGAAACAAAGACGCTTACGATCTATCCCGATACTTCCTTGAAGAACGAGGTAACCACAAAGGTCAGCACGGACAGCATTACTTCGAATGGGAGTCGAAACAACGTGGTCAGAGTCTTTACCATCGACCTGATTCGTACCCTGAGCATGCGTCCCACTGGTACTGTCAGGCTCATCAACCCATTCTGGAACAGCAAACCATCGAGGGTCATTCTGTACGTGCGATGTATCTACTCACCGCCGTAGCCGATATGCTCTGCATCGATGAATCTGGGTCTCAATCACTCTCTTCCTCATCAGACTGGAAGAATACCGTATACCGCCTCTGGGACAACATGGTCACCAAGAAGATGTATCTCACCGGCGGTATCGGCGCCATCAAACAATGGGAAGGTTTTGGCCGTGATTATTTCCTCCCTCAATCTACCGACGAAGGCGGATGCTACGCTGAGACCTGTGCATCCATTGCAGTTATGATGCTTGCCGAACGACTGCTGCATGTCGAGCTTGATGCAAAGTTTGGGGATGTGATGGAGCTTTGTTTGTATAACAATGTCATGACTGCGATGAGTCTTGATGGAAAGGCGTTCACGTATGTCAATCAGCTTGGGAGTTCGGAGAGTGATAAGAGTGTGAGGGAGGAGTGGTTTTGGTGCGCTTGTTGTCCGCCGAATGTGACGCGTTTGTACGGGTCGTTGGGGGGATACCTCTGGGACTTTGGGGAGGAGAACGAGAAGGGGGTGTTTGTCAATGTGCATTTGTACACGAAAGCTGAGTTGAAGTTTGGGACTGGGGCGGGAGAGGTTATCCTTCGGCAAGACACGGATTGGCCATGGGATGAACTCGTTACGTTTCGACTTAAGAGTCCTACGTCGGTGAACACTACGATACGACTCAGGATTCCAGGCTGGTCTCAGAATCAGTATACCTTGGAACCTGAGCCTAGCGAAGGTAGTGTTTACTTGGACAAAGGCTACCTCGCACTCGATCCAGCTTACACGGCAGCGAATCCCGCCTTCTCACTCACCATCGGCAACTTCACACCTCGTTATATCGCTCCACATCCATACACCAACCAGCATACCTTGACACTTGCCCGAGGACCTCTAGTGTACTGTATCGAGGATGCAGACAATGCACGGGAAGATAATCACTTCAAGGACGTTGGGCTAAAGGCAAGTGGTACTGTCAAGGAGGAAAGGCAATGTATTGATGGGACGGAAGAAGAGTATATTGCTTTAAGGACTTCATACTGGCGACGCAGTTTGAAGTTTGATGAGACGCGGCCAACTCCTGGTTTTGTTGTCGAGGGCAATGAGTCGGATTTTGATGGTGAGGAGGAGGGTGTCTTTGTGCCGTATTACCTCAGGGCTAACCGAGGAGGGAACGGGCATATGCGAGTTGGTCTTCACCATATACAAAGCTAGGCCATCTCTAAGCAAAAATATAGAATACATATGTCGAGGTTGCATCACTTAGATTTGCTAGATTCTTTACATCAATTAGCAATCGCTCTCTTCAACTACTCTTTGTAAACGGTGAAACTGAGGTTACAGGAGATTAATGAGCAAACTCCCGAAGACGGGTTTGCAATGAAACTCAACTACATATCAATCTATCTACTCTATGAATTTCCTGTACTTCTCACTCCTAAGTACAATCCTATGCGGAAAAGGCTTCACACGGGCTATAACACCCGGCAACTGCTCATAAACAACCTGAATCTCTTGCCCCTCATCATCCAACGCTTTCTTAATCTCAAAAACCGCCAATGTCTGTGCAATACTCAAGAACAGGGTCTGCTCAGCGATCCACCGTCCTGGACACGCTCTTCTCCCAAAACCAAAGACAAGGTCCAACGGGGACGGCTCGTTATACGGCTCAAAGAACCGTTCTGGCTTGAACTCCATTGGATCATGGTAGACTTCAGGATCGTGCGTCAGAGATGCTACTGCTGGGAAGAGAAGAGTGTTCTTGGGGATGAAGTAGCCGCGGTACGTGTCGTCTTCTGTCGTCATGTGTGGAAAGCCCATTGGGGCGAGGGTGTGCCAGCGGAGGACTTCTTGGGCTATGGCGTTGATGTAAGGAAGGTTTGCCTTGTCGGAGAATGAGGGGAGACGCGAGTCTCCGATGACGCGGTCTATTTCTTCTTGAGCTCTCTTTTGGGCGTAGGGGTTGAGAACCATGGCTGCGAAGAAGGCGAGAAGTGTTGCGCCGGTAGTGTCGGTTCCTGCATTCATCATTGAAGCTGCAGTCCATGCGATGATACTTTCCTCCTCTGGATCAATCTTGCGGTGAATGTCTTTTATAAGACCAGCGACGTATGAAACACCATCTTCACCACTGGCCATTTGCCCTTTGACGTATTTGTATGGGTCTTGAACGTTTTGTAAGAGGTGCTGTCGGAAGAGTTTGGAAGTCCTCTTGAACCCAGCGCCCGGCATCCATTCCGGAAGGTATCGAAGCCAAGGGATGAAATCTACCATCCATGCACCTGGAGTGGTAGCTTCAGAGAACTCTTCCATCACGAGATTGGCCATGGCGACGATGTCATCGTTACTCTTGGGGTCTGTTTCGTAGTTGTAGAGGATGCGGAGCATGATCGAGCCGGATACCCTGTAGCCACGTCAGGATCTATCCAAGGAGTTGTGAGGAAGACATACTGGTTCAAATGGTCGGGAAGATTCTGATAGTTGGGGTCTTGGTTGATTCTCTTCAATAATCGGAGAATCTCTAGCTCTTGAATAGTCTCGAATCGGGTAATGGACTTGGCGCTGACTTGGGTAGCTGTGAGTTTGCGATGCATCCGAAAGGTTCGGTTGTACGGCATCATACCCATAACACCATCATACCCAACGCTACAGCAGCTTGTTAGTATAGTTTACAGATCAAGCGGTTGTCTGGACTTTACATATCTCCAGCAAAGACCAGCTTGGGGCGTGAAGCACTCTTCAGCGCTCTCGTCTCCAAATGATCCATGATGACTTGCCTGTCATGCAAAATGACAAAATGTTGTCCAAGCACAGAAACTGAAGTAATCGGCCCGTATTTCTCTTTGTGTCTTTGCCAGTGAGGCCATTCTAGCGTCCCGGGTGGTGGGAGATCACGTATGTTGCCAAAGAGTGGTAGACCTTTGGGCCCAGGTGGCAGGGGGCCTTTGTTGGGTTGTTGTCTGTGTTTGATGATGAGAAAAGATAGCGATACCAGAATGGTAGTAACTAGAATAAGTGAAGTGGACATTTTGAAGGATGGAGCAATAAGCCTTTGTTATGGAGTGATCTCGTAGAGGGCAGCAACATAGTATTTGTGGAATTGATGTCCCGCCCGCACCATCTAAGTTTGATGGGCTAATCTATCATTACGCTACTGTTTGAACTAAGGAATCTGACATGGGTCACTAGTCTTGATCTTAGCACTACTGTCAGATTTTGGGGCTATCAGCGGGACCACCCGCTTTCTCGTGGGTTTGATTGGGCCATTGCAGATGGGACAACTCGCGTTTGGTTTCACATCATTGGACGCGGTATATGAACCTTTTGACTGAAATAATAGAAACATCAGCGTTGGAGGTGATAGGAGTCTGTCTTGCCAATCTCTCTCCGTACTTCAGGTAGTTGTAGGCCTCCTTCTAGTGTGAAGATGCCGACGAACCAGAAGAAAGAGCTTGTTGACTACGGTAATACTTGCAGAGTTCCAAGCCTGAATGCCAGTCCGGGAGACTGTGTAGATACCGAGTAAAGGAATTTGTTCCAGCTTCAAGTTAATTTTCTCGTAGACTCGATCGCGAGGCAGAGAGCTAGCTTTAGATAGGTCCGTGCACTCGAGGTTCCACCTTTTATCGCCTTGGATGTCAAGAGTATGAGAGGCAGACCGGCGAGGCTGAAGTCTTGATTCAAGAAGTTTCTGTAGGTAAATGTATGGGAATTTTGATACGAGCAGACGCGCCTCATATCTCACCACATGGTCGTCTCAGTGCAGTTGATTCTCACTCCTCCCACTTACTGACTCTCATCTCAACACCTTGACATAACATCACAGGATTGATCCTGTTACCACTGGCATCGCGATTCACAAGCTTATTATGATCCTCTCTTTATTGTTGGTTGATTGACACTTGTTTATAGCCACACCGCGCAAAGTCATAACTCCTTTGGCAAGAGCCCGGCATCACAATGGGCTCCAACAACTAGGATCCCTTCCTTGGGTCTGCCGAGGTCGATGACTCTCCCTACAAGCGGTGTGCGAGGCGTATCGGCAAGATAATCACAGATTTGGTGGACGAGAATGACCAATTCAGAGAAGAGGGAGCCCGCTCGCGTTCTGCTCCAATCATCGCTGATCTCGAAGCCCGTCTCAAAACCTCAAACGACCGCGTCGCTGATCTTGAAGCACGCCTGAAAGCCTCAGAGGACCGCACCGCTGAAGCTGAGGCCATTGTTGCTCAGGCCAAGACCTATGCTGATGCTCATATCGCTCGATACACCTCTGACCTCGAAGCTCGCAATGCGAAAATGGTTGAGACGGTTGCAGAGACCGTTGAAAAGCTGAAGAGGGATGCGGCCGCTCGGGTCGCCGCGGCTGAGTCTAACGCTCAAGACTGCATTTATGATGCCAGAGACGAAGTTAATTCTCAGATCCGACAGTTGTCTCAGGACCTTGATCGTCACGTTGACATGCTTGGCCTTGCCCGTACGTTGTTCCAATCCTTCCAACCGTTGATCGAACTAAACATGTACGCAGGAAAGCATACCGGATGGGCGGCACACAAACTGATTCTTCTTCTAATTGAGTTGAAGAAAAGAAGCGCTTTCCCGACAAAGACCTTCTAGTGCATTGCTTAGACCAAATGTTGGAGGAGCTCGTTGCGTTCCGAAATGATTGCGATGAGGTTCTCGACAGCCGCTTACTAGGCGACGATGAACCTGACTGGGGGCCTGTACCTGACGAGGAAGGTGGTGCTTTGCTCAACAGAACCTATCGCAACTACTCTAAGGTCATCGCACCTGTCAACACCGAAGAGCAGACCAACCAGTCAGAGGCCCCAGCCTCTCCCAACAGCGCAGACACTACCGATGAGCAGGCCAACCGTGAGGAAAGTCCTCTTTTCATAGATGATGGTCATCAAAGCAATGGGAGCGCCTGGTTCGTCGATTCAAAGGAGGAAGACATGGACTATCAACTCGGAGCGTTCACTAACAGTGGTCACGCCGATTTGTCTTCATCTACCAAGCGAGCCAACGACTCCGAAGGCCAGGCTGGACACGGCGACAGGCGTCAGCGAACAAAGTAGAAGCGGCAACGACCAAACACCACACGCCCAGTATGTGCCTCGCACTGGTGATGGGGTACCAATTTAGGAGATTGGGTCGTTGGACTTGGAATGGGAGATGGGTAGTATGATCAAGGACTGTCTCGTTCATTATCAGTGATGATAGAGGTTGCCAGGAGCGAATGGAAGGGCTCCTCAACGAATTCAATTAAAGACACCAATACATTCCATTCTATCCAATTGCCTTCATCCTTCTCATATGTTCACGTTCTGAAATCAGGTCAAGTCAACACTTTTATGCGTCTTATTTGCATTCTCATCTGTCGCATCAATTTGGCGTTCTGTAGATCTTCCCAATTGAGCGTAGCGCCATTTTGGACTTACCCGGGACACTCAGCTGAAAAGGAACTTTTCCCTCGGGGGGACTTGTCGTGATGCGAGAAGCGCAGCGGATCAGGCAAAACAGGTTAATCCGCTCCGTTTACGGCATTTCCGTTTTATTCCCGACTCGATCTGGGAAACTACGCCAATTTAAGTAAGACTCACATATCATTGCTACGCGCCATGAACGATGGCGTCTTCTCAATTGGGCGTCTGGAGCTGTACTGCAACGTTTATCTACGTTCAGTTACGATTCTCGGCTTGTCGTGAGTGCCTGAAATAACATGTCGAAAGTGCATTAGACCCGGAGCCCCATATTTCAAGCGAGCTTGCGGCCCGACGGGCCAAAGTTCATCGACGCAACCTCGGGTTCTCTTCAGGTCCGCCATGTTATTTCCAGGCAAGGATCCCAAGTCACAAGCTTTTCCAACAGTGGATTTCGGCATGTTTTTAATTAAAACAAGATCCATGTTTTTAGCGTAAGGATGCGACAAGCCCCATGTGTCAATGTTTTAGCTACGGCTGCCTCCTTAAATGCACAGATCTTTGGTCGTGCCGAGGTGGCTGGCGTACCAGCCTCGCGACAACGGGGAAAGCACAAGACGCTGGAATTGAATTGAATAACCATGGGAAACCAAGGGAGGTCGAAAAGCAAATGGCCTACGGGTAATTGTTGCGTGGTGATGTTTTGTCTTAACTCGGTCGCTACCCTATGACTCGATTGTGAGTCAACTTTGCGTGTCAAATACCAACAACAAACACAGGCGGTAAGGAAATGCATTAGAGCCAAGGAAAACCAGTAAATATCAGTATCGATTCGATCAAATATTCAGCAAATGCAATTGCTATGCGACGTCGCAGTAATTGATGCAAGCACCTGCTCAATCTCCAAAACGAGCAATCACCAGAACAAGACAGTTAAGTCATCACGGTCGCATCATCATCGCAAGTCAAAAGAGACGACGAAACTGATACAAATCGCTTGCAATTAATTGACAAAGAAAATCTAGAGTAAAGAAGGTCTAAATACATCCAATTAACCCACCAAACATGTGCACGAAACGAAATCCCCAATCATTTTCCCATCGCAACTCCAAAACTTTTTAATCGTGACCCAAACTTTTACAATTACATTTCCCGCCAATTCGTACATAATAAAATACACGCTAAACCACAAAGAATCGAGGGTATCCTATGATGTACAAGTAGCCAAGCTTACAGTTCAAAACTCCAATACAGTAGGGGAAAAAATTAAAGGCGGTTCGTGAGAGCAATGCCCGGCGACGCAGGGCGATCGAGCTCAAGACGGTGCATGTGCGCGTCGAGAGCGCTGACGGATGTAGACGCGCCGATGGATGTGTGGCGCTTGTGACGCGACGTCTTCTTGGTGACGCTCATCTTGCGAGGGCGCCCGTTCTTCTCGGCTGGTGATTTGGGGCTTTTGTCGTCGCATGTAGCGGTCGACGAGATGGAGGATGTGGATGAGTGCGTGGATGTCGTGCTGGCGTAGGATGAAGCACGGGAGATGGAGGAGTGGATGGAGGAGCGCGATGATGCTGTCTGGGGACGCTCGGCGATGTCGGAGAGGATCTCCTGCGGCGTGCGAGGCTTGTCATTCACCATGCCCAGGCAGCGCTGCCACCAGCCTTTATCCTTCTCATCAGAGAACTCAACCATGTCGCCCAGTGCCTCCTCCGCACGCTCGGTCTTGTCGTCGTCGAGGCGCAGGGCGCCGTGCTCAGAGGCCAGCTCCAGCAGGGCCGCTGCGTCGCAGGCGTCGCGTCGCTTGCTGTTGTCATTCTCGTGGAGGCCGCAGGCGTCCATCTTGAAGATGATGAGATCTCCGAGCGACGTGTACGGGAGTGTCGCTTCGTTGGTGACGTCGCGGACGCGCTTCGCTGAGTCCGGGAGGTAGGGGCTCAGCCAGTCGGGGATGAGCTTGACCTCAATCTCCCAGCCGCTCGTGTGGCGGTACAGAACGGTGCCGGACTTTTCGACAAGGGGAGTGATCGGGTGGCCGACGATTTCTTTCTTGACGCGGCCGGGGGAGGAGGATTTGCTGATGACCAAGTCGATGCTCTGAGAAGAAGTCAGCGATGAAGACGGGGCGCAATTGAGAAGGGAAGACGTACTGCTATGCGGTTCTGGCGCGAGAGGTACTTTGCGACAGCCAAATCGCCAATGACGGCGAGTTTGGTGTTGTCCAGGCCGGGAATATCGGCAATGAGACGGATGATGTGAAGGGCAGCTTGTTCAAGCTGGGCGAAGCTTAGTCTTTGCGCCATGGTCTGCACAGGTTGCTTTCTCTCACAAAAGCGACTAGAGACTTCGCCCGCTGCTTTCAAAGGGTATGAGATGCAACAACAAGCATTTCATTTTGGCTGCGCAGTCCCCTAGATATAATATTATCCATCGTGTTTTTTTCTTTGGTCCCTGCGTCCAGGTAAACCCAAACAGTGCCCAACTTGGCCATTTCTACAGGGGGTTCCGGGGTTTCTGCCAATGAGATGGTCTGTGTACCTGACCTGCCAATCTTAAAATCTCAGGGTATCCCAGTGAATACGATTGCTGCGCGCGTTGGGTTTCAATGCCCAAGGGGGGACTTTGTTCACTTGGAATGACCAAGTTTCTCGGGCGAATCGAATTGACAGCGACATCCTTGACGTTTTGTTTTGTTGACTCGAGAAAAGTAAGGCTCGTAGCTATTTCTTGGGGAATGAAAGGATCTCGATTGTTGGAATGAGTGTGCTGGGAAATGAGATTTTCTGCATTGACCTAACCTGGGCAGTGCTGGCACGACTAGAAGCCAGGTTTTTCTTTTTCTGTCCCTGATTTTATTCCTTTTTGCTGAGTATCTCGAATATTTCTCGGGGAGATATGTTCCTTATCCTCGTGTGAAATCTTTTCATCGCATGACTTTTATGGAGATTTTACCTGTAATTCTTCTCGTTTTATTGTCCGTTGATCCGGGAATTTTAATTGACAGGCCAGAGTTTCGGTTAGATCGTGATCAGCGGCGTAGTGAAACATACAGCGCAGTTTCAGGATGACTTTTGTAATATCGCTGGAATGGACCTCATGATGTTGAGTCATACGTGATAATTGTTTTTAAGATTTCCCCAGGATCACGGGCCGTAGCCGATTGTTTCCATCAGCTATCCACTCAACATGCACTTTGCCCGATTGAATCGCTTGCACAGATGCTAATGGGATGACGTCGGGTACCCTACAGGTAAGTCTTTAAGGATCAATTCGGCAACGGCACTGCATGTTCAGATTCTCGATGTCAGAAAATGAACCTCTTTCTGCCCTGAAATGACGTGAACTGATCGAGACTCTGGACAAATTGTCGCCATAACAAATATTCGCGTTGTCATGTAGTCTTGTTGGCATGTAAGCAGAGACAAAAGCCATTTTCCCCGGTCCAGATCGAGGTTAGTGTCGTTCAGGCATGACAACAGAAAGTCATCTGGTCAGCAACAGGACCTTCATTCCCGTAGATTCGAGCATCGCGCTAGGGAAGCTGATAACTAACTGTTTCAGATGAAGAGACGGTGACATAAGATTGCCCAGAATCGTGACCTAACATCAATGTCATCAGGTCGGTCATATCTCCGCTGTCACCAATGTCCCCTAGATATGCAGCTTGCTGTGCAATAGGATCCAGAGCTCTTGATTGGGAGGCCGAGTCTTCTATCACGAAAGGTCCTTTAACGCACTTTAACTTTTGTTATTTAGAGCTTATATAGCTGGGGGCTGATGCTTATATGTAAAGAAAGAATCGGACACCAGGGTTTCATGATGTCTTGCGTTCTGATAACTATTGGCAGATAATGTTTGCGTGTATCGCCTATAGATTTTACTAGCGACACGAATCCTTATCTAAATCATCCGGTATGGTGTAGTGGCTAACATTTCGCGCTCTCATAATCTGAGGGATCAGTACCGCGGAGCCCAGGGTTCGATTCCCTGTACCGGAGTTTATTTTTGCCGTTTTCATCACCAAATCCTCCTATTAAACGTTTATTAATCATTTATTACTACTATTACTTATCATCCTTGTATGCTCTCTGACCTTTTGTTCTCTTATTATATGTAATTAATCTGTAAGTCTCAGTAATATCGTGCCTCAACATCCTGTTGTTGACTCCTCCGAAAGTCAGGTCCCAAAATCTCCTCCTCACTCTGATTTTCACCATATCCCCTCTCCGCCCCTTTCGCAAAGACCTTGTTCTTATTATATGAACTTCCAACACCCTTCCTCTCATACTCCCTCACAGAGGCTTCAGACGTGCTGTCCTTTTTATGTACCTGTGCGGGATACAGCGTACTTCCACCAATTGTCTGTAAAGGATACGATGTGCCGGAGTTCTGCTCCCGATACTTGCTGCTGTTTCGAGAACTCCATTTGCTGAAATACTTCTTGTACAGAGGCCTGCAGACGGGAATGCCGATGCAGATCATTGTTACGGTCATCTCGGCGGCGGACCAGACAATTAGTCCAACAGGGTCCTCTGCCTTGTGTTAGTAATCATCCATATACAGTGAGGAGGGCGTACTGGTGTGATTTGGACTTTCGAGCTTTGGGACCTCGAGAGTTCTCTTGATACCAAAAGCACCGGCACTGGAGCATCATTAGT